GAAGGTAGAGGGAAACACAAAAGGAGCAGTAACACTGTAATGGGTCTCGGAGCTCGTGAGAACACTCCTAGTAACTCTACTGACCACACTCATGAAGTAGATGTAAATGCTCCTACTACCGATAACCTGCAAATATCGGCAGATCACTATGCACCCAGGGCCAAACAAGATAATCCCATTGTAAAAGCCGTAAAGAAATCCCCTAAAACCAAGGTTTCTCCTCATTCGTCCATATACCTCTCTTGTGGCAAGCCCAACAACCAGCATATAAGCCTGAAAAAGAACTACGCACGCATTGCGGCAGGTCCCATAAAAGAAACGGAAGACGTGAGTGGAAGTGCTCTTCGTCGAACTAAGAGTAGTAGACAAATTGAGGGCGACAGACTACATGAGGTGAGAACTTTAACTTTTCTAAAACAGCTTTCAACCCGTTGTAAAAGTTCTACTTACCCCAATATTGGTTGGTTATCGTATACCTACAACCACGGGATGAAAACGGAACGAAGTCGATTTTCCAGCTCAACCTGGAGGACAACTGTACAATTAAACAACTATACGGCCTGGTGCAGACAATTAGTGCAATTATATATATATATATATATATATCAGAAATGATTGTACATAAGTGAAAAGGATGTTTTATATTATTGGGATTAACATTTATCAGGTGTATGTATAAACTCCAGCGTGCATGTTAAACATATTTTGCTATCGACGGTAAATTGAGACTGAATAATATGGTCCTATTTCTGTAACAATTTGATGATGCCTATAAACTGGCGTCCCTTATGTACTGTACCATGAGAAAAAATCTATTTATTTATTTAAATGAAATAAACATATCTCTGATTTCAAAATAACACATCAATGAACTATAAATCAAGAATTCTGTACACAACAAAATTATGTATGAAAACTGACTTCAAGCTTCATTTTTTTTCCCAGGCACTTATAACCCATCCACCAAAGACCTGGTTTTTTTGTTAATGCAAAGACAATACTTCTGTATTTCCTGGCGTGTTGCACTCACTAACAATCTAGCGGATTTTCCCAACTATGCACAGAAACGATTGTACATAAGTGAAAAGGATGTTTTATATTATTGGGATTAACATTTATCAAGTGTATGTATAATCTCCAGCGTATATGTTAAACATACATTGCTATCCACTGTAAATTGCGACTGAATAATATGGTCCTATTTCTGTAACAATTTGATGATGCATGTAAACTGGCGTCCCTTATGTACTGTATCATGAGAATAAATTTATTTACTTATTTATAAATATTTAACTGCTAAAACATTATTAACTTGTAGACAATCTAAGATTTGACATTATATCATACTTGATCGTGCCTGTAAAAATGCCATGCATTTTCATGTGAATTTATGTTTATATGAAGATATAAATTATTATTATTAACGGCGGAAATAGCTCTATCAACACAAAATCACAGGCCAGCAGACATGCAAGGGGCGCCAAGCTGATTAAACAGCAGAGTGATACCCACGATTTCCGCAATATCCGGGGTTGTAATATGCCAGTAGGCACATATAACCTGAGGACGGGACCCATAATTAATAATGAAAACGCATGGGCTACTGGACGGGGCACCACTAGGTACCATATCAACAGAAACGTATGGTCAAACACTCATAGTATTTACGTGAAGCCCCATTGGCATAACGGGTCTAGATTGGCCCCTGGTCCTTCTAGGTACACTCACGAGATGAGTCAGCAAGTGTACAACTACGTAAAACCTAGCATGCGCTATCGTCAAAACAACCTAAAAACAGGGTACTATGACGCTGTAAATTACAACGTGATCAGTTAAACAGACCATCTTATGCAAGGAAATGATCCTAGATACCCAAGTAATGGGGCCAGGAACTAATACATGCAACAGGGTTATTTTCAGTTGCAGCGAACAATAGCCCCTCTCGCAGCACAATTTGTTCAGGGAATAGTAGACACACTGACAATGTCTCATCTGAGAATCCCTCCGAACATAACATAGGCAACCGGCAGTTAGGGATAGTAACAAGAAAACCTACTAACTATCCCAACAACCCTGGTTTTCTGAAAATCATGCTTTTAAATGCTCGATCTCTACTTAACAAGATAACTTTCCTTCGCAGCTTGGTATACACGGAGCGGCCAACACTGATTCTGGTAACTAAAACTTGGCTTACTACTGATATACCTGACACAAAGCTGATAGTTGATAACTATAACATCCACAGGAATGACGGAGTAGACAAGAGAGGAGGCGGCTGTCTAATATATGCCTCTAAATCCACTAACTCCAATACCTTTACAAACCTAACTATTGATAAACTCCCAGAATCCAAGTGGATAAGCATCCACACGAATGAAAATAACATTCTTGTGGGATGTATATACAGAGCCCCTAACAGCCCTATAACGACTGATACGGCTATCGGAGAAATGCTAGAGATTGTACCTAAGCTGGAATTCGACTACAAACTAGTTTGTAGCGATTTCAACCTCCCCGGAATGAACTGGGATACCTGCACTAGACCGAGAACCTACGAGGTGATCCTAGAAGCCATAGATATAGGAGGATGGAAGCAGTGCGTACGCCTCCCGACACGACACAACAATCTTCTCGACTTAATCCTCTGCCACAAAATAGAGCCGATCTCGACAGAGGTGGGGGATGAACTGGACAACAGCGATCACAACATACTGTACTGCACCATACCCTTACAACTAACAACTAAACACACACCTTGAAGTTCCCTGGTTTCCTATCAATATAGGGACCATTGAAATGCCGACTAGGAATTCCTACCAACGCTCTTGAGAATTTCTGACTGGTGTGAATACTTCACCAATAATAACTTAGAAGTAATACTTAATATCTTCTACAAGACAATCAGTTCGGTAAGAGACACAATCGCACCCCTGAAATCTGCCCTAAAGACATCAACTCTATTCAAAGACCGCAAAACGCGATTAAAACTAAGGAAACCGAAAAGGAAATTTTATTTATACAGGCATTACACCAGATACATGAAAAATTTAAAAATCTTGAGGAGAGACATAAAATGAAGGCACAACTAGAGGAAAATAAAGCCCTAGGGGGAACTTCTACAACTCAGGAACTATGCAAGATCTTGCAAAAACGGCTGAAGAAGGGTGAAGACCACAATATTAGCCACTTGGAACATGAAGGTATAATTTATGATGATCTGCAGGTCATGCATTTTCATGTAAATTTAAATTTGTATGAAACACATTAAATTAAATTAGTGAACTCCTGAGTGAATGGTTTTCCAGTAACACCAAAGCGCATCCGTCCCCAATTCTCGACATAACCTGCAAAAATAGCTACAAGTTAGGTGAAATCAACTTTAATATACAAAACATAGCATCGGCGGTAAGGACATTAAAAGCTACTTAGTGACTGGGACCTACCCTGAAGCTTGGAAAAACATATATATTACCTAAGCATAAACGAGGGCCAAAACTAGTGCATGTAATTATAGGCCCATCAATATAGCACCTGTCATATCAAGGATCATGGAGAAAGTAACCAAAGACCAAATGTCAGACTACTTCCTAAAACACAAACTCATCAACCTGTCACAACACGGATTCCTCAAGAAAAGATCTTGCGTCTCTTGCCATATAGACTTTTTCAACGAAGTCACCTATAGAAGAGATAGGAGAGAGCTGGTAATTATCCTCTATTTCGATATAATGAAAGCCTTCGACAGAGTCCCACATAGTCTGGTGAAAGTAAGAAACTTGATCTAAAGTGCTTCTACTTGCACAAATGCCTGCAGAAAACACATTTTTTTGGTGAGAATTTTGATTACGTTTGCTTTTATTAAACTTACTATTTGATGGTTGGTTCAACTGCAACGAGGGCAAGGCAACAGATCGTTTATTTAGGAAATCAAAAGCTTGAACGAAGCAAGAACAACAATTGTGCCAGGATAATATGAGCTCATCTTTTATTATTTTGAGGATTCTTCTCAACTGTTTACAACCTAAACATTAAAAAATATGAATTACATTAAAGATATTAACATACTTTTCCACGATCATAAAGAGTAATTGGTTCAGGTTGTGACCAGTTGAGAAGAATCCTCGAAATAATAAAAGATGAGCTCATATTAGCCTGGTACAATTGTTGTTCTTGCTTTGTTCAAGTTTATTAATCGGAAGAACTGCATGAAGTTTTTAAAAAATCGAAAGCTATTTATAGATTTTCATGTACATTGTAAGCAAAAAACAGTCTTCTGATTGGTGGTTTCTTGCTGAACGTCAATTACTGTCTACCAATTTGACTAACAGCCAGCTCTCACCACACAGTCACTTCCAGACTGTTCAACTGACAAGTCCTCACCCTCGCACGAGAAGCTGAAACTGTTCTGTACGCACTGTTTGTATTATTCTTCACGCAACCTGCATAGTCAAAGGGTTTTGAAATTAAGGTTTGGTAACTAGCCGTTAACTGGTATCCCCTTTAAAAGTAAATCCCGGAAATCTCCATGCAGGTTTTAAACATTTACACAAGATGTAATTCATTCTGAAGGCAACAGTACACCGAAAATTTTTACCGTTTCCCTTTTGAGATCATGATATGAAGAAGGTATTTTCTAAAAACCTAAGAGACGAGCCTAGTTTTCTGACTGCCTAAGCTATCGATCAAACATTAGACGAATACCTATCGATTAGCTTGAACCTATAGTTACACCGCTGAAGATCTGCAATATTAAGGTTCTATTCTCATCATTTGTGTGATGACATGGAATATTATGCATGCAGCTTTCGAATAACTGGTGTTACATGAAAATCTAAGCACATAAGTTCCCAATCCGTGGTTTGTTTACATCAGCATATGTAGCCAGTGTATGTTGGTTACTACAAAATCCCTATTGAAATACATGGAACACAAATATTTACATACATTCTTCTGTTCTTCTTGAAATGATTCTATATGATACCAGACATTGAATATTCAACCAATGATAGTTTTGAAATCTTATTTGCATGCATTTTTTCGCGTGAATTTTTCGAACTTGCTGCACTTGTTTTCGTGCTGTCACACACGATGGGTTTGTTCAATAAGAAGAAAAAAGATGGCGATCAAAACCAGTCAGTAACACTAAAAAAAGAAGTTTCTGTATTGCAAGGTGTCAGTATTGTTGTTGGAGTGATAATTGGTTCTGGAATTTTCGTATCACCAGTAGGAGTTGTAACATATACTAAGTCTGTTGGATTATCTTTGATTTTGTGGTCTGTAACCGGTCTATTCAGCGCTCTTGGTGAGTTTATGTTCCAGAAATTCATTTCTGCATAGGCGCAATTGTGTACGCTGAGTTAGGAGTCACGATTCCTCGATCTGGTGGAGAATATATTTACATCCTCCAGACATTTGGACCCTTACCCGCCTTTCTTGCCTTTTGGATCACATTTGTAGTAATTGGATCTGCCAGCTGTGCTGCAAATGGACTTATCTTTGCAGACTATATTCTCCGGCCAGCATTCCTTAGTTGTACTACTCCCACTGATGCTGTTCGACTTGTTGCAGTTCTTGGGATTCGTGCGTTTTTCATTTTTAATGTTACTATTATAAAGTAACACTTTGTTTCATACACTGCTTTAGTGTTAAATGGGCAACGAAAATCGCAGTTGTCTTCACTGCTTGCAAAGTAGCAGCTCTATTGCTTATTATTGGGTTTGGATGTTACTACTTAGCTCTAGGTAAGGCCACAATGTTTTGACACTGTTTTGGAATAAAGGACAGCCTCACCACTTGACTGGTATCTCTTTATTTTGATTAGGTAACACGGAGAGTTTCAAGGATTCGTTTGAAGATAGTGAAACGTCACCAGGAGCACTTGCACTGGCATTTTATCAGGGATTTTGGGCTTTTTCTGGTTGGTAAGTTATTATTTCCTTGCCGTATGTCCGGCTGAACACAGTTTCAGAAGTTACTTATTTATTTTTATTAGGAACATGTTGTAACTACTATGCAGAGTAGTAACCGTTGTGTGAATAGTAATATTGCCTTCCTCTGTACTAGAGGTAAAAGAATTTCGTTCGACTGTTTTTGAAAATGCAGTCTGACTTATTTTGTACTGTACGTGTTTGAACAATACCTGAAGTCTATTGTAATTTTAGTGAGGTGAATGCCTTTGAATAAGCGTGACACTCAGTTCAAATCTCCACTTCAAAACTTCTGTAGTATTTTTAAGTGTTTTGGAGACAGCCATGGTTTTGCATTTTTAAGTTGTACAGTTTTGACATATCATTTTGAGATGTGCATTTGCACATATAAAAGCTGTGCAGAGTAATCAGTTCTGGAATTTATACTGCGAGAGATTTGACATTTAGCCCTTTTTTAACAGTGATGCAAAGAATAGAACACTTGCATAAGTCCAGGAGCTCTGTTTTTGCATAAAATAAACAGCTATTCTGTTCTTGTAGTCACTAATGTACTATTGTGTGCATCAATCTTGTTACTAACGTAACTTTATCTGGAAGTTATTCCCCTGGAAGGTATATTTACAAGTAGTAAATACGTTGCAATGTGAAATGCTGAAAATACTGTTATTATACTGTCACTGTATCTGTTAAGTTATTCTTCTGCATAATATTTTGAAGTTAAGCAACCTGTGCTCACTTTCAAGTTTACAGCAACGGCAGCAAGGGCCAAAACCCCAGCTTGATCAAACGTTTGGAGAGCTGATATAAATGCAATCGTCTCAGGAGCCAACTCAATAAACTGGTACATCAACCCAGAGTACCAAGTAGAAGCCGCATGGAACCAATTTAAGCAACTTTACACTCAAGTAACTGAACCTTTCACCCTTTGGTCTGTCCAAAGGGTAGGAAGCATTGCCCCCTCGGATAAACCGAGTGATTCGTGAGTTACTCAGACAGAAACACAAATGCTGGAACCTGTTTGCCACATTTGGGACTCCTGAGACCAGGAAATTACATAACAATGGTAGGAATAAAGCTGTTGCAGAAATTCGCCAGTCAAGGATGAAGTTCGAAGCACATCTGGTTGAAAATGCAAAGGCACAACCTAAGAAAATTTTCTCGTACATGAACTTCGGGAATAAAGCGTCCAATGGTGTCCCAAACCTGACTATTGACAATGATACAATCAAAGAAGATCAAGAAAAAGCAGAAGCAATGGCGGACTACTTCTCCCAAGTCTTCACTCATGAGTCATCACTCCAAATAGGATCAGCTCTGACTGCATCAGAGGAATATGGGATAGATTCCGTTGATGTCGACGAAGGCAACGTGCTCAACTGTTTAATGAAATTAAATGCAAGGAAATCAATGGGTCCTGATAATCTTTATCTCAAGAAGCTATCAGCTCACATAGCCGGCCCTTTGACCACGACCTTTAAGCTATCTCTCCTAAATGGAGTGTTGCCTCGTGATTGAAAAGATGCCATAGTAACCCCCATCCACAAAGGAGGATCAAGACAAAGCCCTTCAAATTACAGGCCTATCAGTCTCACCAGCACTTTAATCAAGACACTGGAAAGAATTATCAAGAAAGGCATCATGGCTTATCTGAAAAATAGCAACTTGTTATCTGGAGCACAGCATGGCTTCCGGAGGAACCTCTCATGCCTGTCAAATCTCACTGCAAGAGAAAGCTGGGTCAAATCAAAGGACAACAGAAGACCTGGTGACGTCGTCTTCATAGACTTCAGTAAAGCCTTTGATAAAGTACCTCACAAAAGACTACTCATGAAGTTGGAAAGTCCTGGTATCAAAGGTAGATTACTAAACTGGCTCAGGGCATTCCTCATAGATAGGAGACAGAGGGTTAGTATCAACTCAAAATTCTCCTCTTGGACAGCGGTACGTAGTTGAGTGCCACGAGGCACAGTACTCGAACCTCTCCTATTTATTTTGTATATAAGTGATTTATCTCTGCTCACTGACTCCCGATGATTCTATATGCAGATGACTTAAAAATTTGGAGGGAGCTGAAGGGAAACAGTGAAACGTCCACATTGCAAGAGGACCTCAACAAACTGTCAGAGTGGTCCATACAATGGATGCTCCCGATAAATGTGGCAAAATGTGCAACCATGCGCATTGGACAAGCAAGCACGAGCTCCTGCGAACTAGAGGGAATAACACTTCCATCAATTCAGACTCACTTGGACTTGGGTGCTACGACTTAGAAACTACAGTACACTGTCGCGCGGTGGTTGCAAAATAGTTTCAGGTCCTTATGGGCAATTCGCAGAGCCTTTACTAGAATCACCAGAGATATGTTTACCTCCTTATATACATCTCTGGTGAGGTCAAGACTAGAAAACTGCATCCAGGCCGCCAGTCCTTGTCTAAAAGGGGATTCACACATTCTAGAAAGGGTTCAAAGGAAGGTACCACGTATGGCTCACGTCATGACTAACTTATCATACAAGGAAAGACTAGACAGTTTAAATCACTCCTCCCTGTCATATCTTAGGCAGAGAGGAGATTTAATCACAATGTTTAAAATTTAAAATAATGACTACGGACCTGACCTATTCTCTCTTTTCCTTTCCATCAGGTCGCAACACATTAGAGGATATAGCAGGAGAGTTCAAAAGCCAAGAAGAAATCATATTGCTATTGAGTACTGGTTCTCACATCGAGTTATAAACTCTTGGAACCGACTCCCAGAAGAAGTGGTGTCTGCAACCTCAACTGATTCATTCAAGAAGGGTTCGGAAAACCACAGAAATTGACTAGAAAAGGATTAACATAGGCTCCAAGCCTTCTATCTTCAACCAATAAATCTGAATGTGAATCTAATATTAACGCGCTGACGTTTCTCAACATAAAACTGGAAGTTAATTTGTATTAAAGTGCATACACTTGATGGTGGCTTGCAAACAAGCAGAAATCATCTAATTCATTAACATGACCCTCTTCAGAACGCTTTTAAACAGTTATTAAGTTTTCGTTTAATTGAAAAGTTAGGGATTTTTATTCTCCTACTGTTGACTACTTTTCATCTTATATCTGGATAAATAGTTTTAGAAATGTATGTGTGCGTATGTGTTCCAGTTGTTGAATTCACTGCAAGAATAAAAAACAAAAGGTATAATATACCTTGATTGTTCAGCAAACTCCTGTGTATTAATGAAGGCTTAAGTAATGGTAGTTAATAATATGCAAATGAAAAAGCAAAATCATTTGTGGACAGCGACTATAATCAAGAAGGTTAGATATTCTAAATACCTTATGCTTTATGGGGAATTACTGCTGCTACACATTCCTCGAACACAAAGCCGCTTAGTTTCTGTAGTATTTTCCTTCAAGAAATTAAGTGTCTTTTGGCAGTCACATTTAGTGTTTTGTAATGTAGAATTGTCGTTTATGAATACCTTGTACTTTAAATCCATTAAATGTGTACACGTTTGAGTTCTTCATATGAATTGTATAAGAATTATGTTGCTTTCTCAAGTTCTGAAATTAACTGGTCCCTTCTGGTGCCCATATAACCATTTTACCGTCATTTAGTTAATTCATAAGACCTATAACAGATTGTTAAAATAGCTAATGCTGGGCTTATCTCAGATGAATCCAGCGTTTCGTCGTATAGCCCTATTTCACTTTTTTATGTTTAATAAACTTTAAACTGGAGCTTCTATGTTTTTGGTTTCAGGAATTGTCTCAATTTCCTAACTGGAGAAGTAAAAAATCCTGCAAGGTAACTTTTGTTCAATTTATCCTCTGTGTGTTTTGTAAGCTTGAATACGTAGTCAGAGAACATGTGTATGTATCACTGAACGGGAACCGCTTACCCTCAGCTATTATTAGATACGCATGTAAGATCTAATTTGTTCTTATTTATAATGATATAAAATATACAGAATGGGGGATACTTGGGGGAACATTTACCTACGATTTATGAAGATACAGTTAGCGTTGTTGTACAACAGCCACTATAAGACAGTTGGAATTACCCAAAACAGTTAGTATTTTGGTTAAATAGGGGTAAACACTTTTAAAATAGCTTTGTTTGGTTCAGTTTTTTTCCGAGCTGCGCATTCAAATGTAAATGAGTATTGTCTCCAGTATCCTGTATGTTGAAACTACTAATTCATTTTTAACTAGGATGTGTTGCTAAAGGTTATGCAGACCATGGTAAGAGTATATTTTGAAATCCTTAACACTAAAGTACTGTAATTAATCGCATTAGGTATTTTTGTAACGACGTACGAACAAACACAAACATGTCTAAATAGGAACTCTAAGTTGTGCCATCTTCTTGCAATATGTCTGTGAAAATATAAACCAGATAACCCTACTTAGAACTGTTTTAAGTTTCGAGCCTGTAATAATAATAATTTGTAAATGCACTGCCATATATAGCAGACTTTTCCGTGTCAGAAAGAATTTTTGTTTTCACTTTAAACCTGGGTAGTATTCTTTGAAGTGAAATGGAGTAGAAAGTCAATGTGGAGGAGTATCCTTTGGATACTGTTGTACATGTATATCAAAACTAAATTTTGCTGTATGACCAGTTGTGGTGCTCTTGGCTTTGACCTGTAGCTAATGTATGTGGTCTGATGATAATACTGGACGCCTAAACCTCAGTAGTTCAAGTGACGTTTTCTTTATTCCTTTACGTTCCCAGTGGAACATTGAGCTTCTAGCTAGAGGCTTGAAATTTCAGTAGCAGTGGTGATTATTTTTACGGGACGGGGTTGCCCAACCCTCCCTCTTTACCAGTCTTACTACTGGCTTAGCAAGGTATGGGAGTGAGTCGGCGGCCGGCGATCGAACCCTTCACCAACTGCGTGTTCGGCGAGCAATCTACCGCCGTGCCACCGATGCATAGTAATGTCCGAACTCATAATCCATAAGTCACTGATCCGCTATGTAAATAATTTTCTGTCATATTGTAACTAAATAAGAAAAAACATGGAAGCCAAGTCATATTTCTCATTGATAAAACTGCCCTTACTATATATCTACAGTTTGTATTCGTTAACCAATCACTGGGCGTGTGATTTTGGTCTAAATTAAACGACATGAAATAGAATGTTCAAATATATATAGTATACTGCTGCTAATGGTGTATTGAACTGTGTGAAAAGTATTCAGCCTCTAACATCAAATAGAATGCTCAAATAAATATATCGTGTTCTGCTGCTAATGCTTTATTGAACTGCGGAAATATGTGAGGATAGTATTCCGTTGGCACACATTGTGTGTATCCCACCACCACAGTATGTTACTATCACTCATGTCAAACTAGACAGTGAGTTCAAATCCATAGTCATCAGTTTGTGATTTAGTATCTATACGAGTGAACTTTACTTTCAGTGTACTGATCCCTTAATTAGTTAACAGTATAAAGTAATATATTTATTTCTTTTATACCCAGGACTCTTCCAATTGTGATCGTCCTTTCTCTTACAACAGTTACATTCATCTACATCTTAACGAATGTAGCCTACCTTGCAGTATTATCACCTACAGAAGTTCTCGCTTCAGGTGATGGATCTGCGGCTATAGCTGTGGTAAGTTGTCATAACTGTTCAATTTCATTCGGTTTTGTACTCTAGTCTTATAAAATTCGTTGGTATCGAAAAGCTTTTTCAGACTATGATTATCACTGTCTTCACTTTATATTATTCTCTGTGGTTCTGTTTAGCTGGTCCTACAATCGCTCATCTCGTATATGTCATATTCAGACACATGCCCGACTCCTCGTTCCCCATTCAGGCTACTACACTCGAGCGGTGGCCTGATATCACCGAAATCACCCAACAGTCAGTCTCTTCAGCGTGTATCCAATCCATCTCCATTTTCTTCGGAATATTTGTTAAGCATCAAGATCTTGATTGTCCCGTTCTCATAGTTTCTTGTTTCTAATCCTTTCCGACCATCTGATATAGAGCGAAGACAGCTATTGATAAAAGTCTGCAGACATCCTGTTGGAAATGCTTTTCGTGAGTCACACGCCAGGATTTCTAATCCACACAGGAGAAATGACTGACCTAATATTCGTGTTGAAAATCTGATTTGTTTTTTCTTTATGTTGAGTACAGGTTTCCACAGTAATTTTAGAGTGATGGAGGTCTGTTTTGTCTTTCCAATTTTGGCTGGTTTTGACTTTCTCATCTGTTGTGCTGTCACCTGTAGTTGAAAGGAAGTTTTAAAATACCCCCCCCCCCGGTTGTTTGAAGATAAGCGAAAACTTCACTTGAAAATTTGTTTGTTGGACGATATGCAAATATAATAACTATTTCAAAATAGACATGCAGACAAAAATAGTGTACATAATATCTGAGTGACTTCCCTTTGATTCAAACAGGCACATAAGCTTGTCCTACAGGAAAGCAGATAACATGTAACAGAATGTGAATAGACATAGTTGGTTGAAAATCCTCCTGAACCACTTCGAACAATGCTTAACAATCTTAAAAATTAAATTCTGACTGCTAGTGCTACAAACATAAATTACAAAACCATTCAACCTTGAAGGGCTGTATATCTCTCGAAGGCTTTCAACAGGACTCCTATTAGTGACAATGAATAACTTTTCAGGCATGTTAACTACTAGAAAAGCATGAGGTCCTATGTAACTATTTTTCGTGATAAGCTGTCTGTCAGTTTTCAACACAGAACTTTGAACCAATGTGCAGCAGTTCAAGTCGCCACACCCCGTGTAACACACAAAGCAAGAGAAGAAAGTAGAAGAAATGCATAATGGCGACAGTAGACAGGGATATCAGACGAAAAGAATAGTAATAATGAAGAACAATATAGTTTCATTGGAAATTATAAGTCACAGGGAGTGAATGCATCTGCGCCACACATTGAGAACGATTTTGAGCCAGCCATATCACCAGTCATTGGTGTTCACCGTCGAAGGCCTTTTCAAAGTCAATGAAGTTGAGATAGAGAGGTGACTGCCATTCTAAGCTTTGTTCAATGATGATCCGTAGTGTGGCGATTTGATGAGTACATGACTTGTTTCTACTGAGTCCAGCTTGTTCCGGTCGAAGTTTTCATCCAGGTTGGCGTGTTTGATTCTCTCCAGGATGATTTTTATTATTGCTTCATTGCGTCCCTAGTGGAACATAGGGCTTCAACTGCACGTCTCCACTTGCTTCTGTCTTCTTCTGTACTTTTCGCCTGCATCCATGTTAGTCCATATTCTTTCAACTCCTCTTCACACGATCTCCTCCATGTCACCATCCCTTGGACGTCCCACTCTCCGCTTCCCTTTCGGGTTCCACTCGAGGGCTTGACGCGCGATGTCACCCAGCGGTCTCCTCAGCGAGTGTCCGATCCATCTCCACTTTCTCCTGCATATTTATTGGTTGGCGATTAGTTCTTGTTTTGTTTGTTCCCATAGTTCCTTGTTGGTGATTCTTTCTGGCCATCTGATCTTCAGTATAGAGCGAAGACAGTTGTTAATAAAGGTCTGCAACTTTTTGGAAATATTCTTTGTGACCCGCCAAGTTTCTGATCCGTATAGAAGAACTGACTGACTTGACGTTTGTATTGAAAATCCGACCGGATTTTGTTGGTGATGCTGAGTGACGAAGATTACCAGATTGTTTTCAGGCTGATGAATGTGTTTCTTGCCTTCCCGATTCTCGCTCGATTTGACATCCTCGTCCGCTCCTCCTGTATTTGAGACGATGCTCCTTAGATAAGTGAATGAAGTAACCTCTTCCAAATCCCTCCCGTTGATGGTGATTGACGCTGGATGTTGCTGCTGTTGTTGTTGTTGGTTGGTTGGTTATTTTCATAACCTCCGTCTTGTCTATGTTCACTTGGAGTCCTGCTGCTTCTTCGACAAGTTTGTCGGTTTTCGCTCGTAAGTCTTCGATTTTGTGTGATATCAAACATAAATCATCCACGCGCGAAATCCAGGTATTCTAGGTTCTCACGTCATTCGGTCCAGGATATCCCTGTCTTCTCGTTTCCCACTGTCTGACGCATAATCCAGTCAGTCCACCACAATTAGGAATATCATTGGTGATAGTAAGCACCCTTGTCTGACTCCTGTGTTTACTCCAAATGCCCCGCTGATTTTTCCGTTGTGTATGACTTGACATGTGCCGTTGTCGTACAGCTGTTGAATAAGGTTGATGAATATTTGGGGTACGCTGTAGTACTCGAGTAATTTCCAAATTGCTTCGCGGTCAACGCCGTGGAAGGCCTTCTCAAAGTCTATAAAGTTGAGGTAGAGGTTTGATTGCCATTCCATGCTTTGTTCTGTGATGATGATGTGTAGAGTTGCAATTTGGTCAGTACATGATTTGACTTTCCTGAATGCAGCCAGCTTGTTCTGGTCGGAGTTCTGTCTCTAGTGCGTCCTTTAATCTCTCCAGGATGATGCGACTCAGGATTTTACTTAGCGTCGATAGGAGCATGATTCCTCGCCAGTTCTTGCAGAGTGAGGCGTAAGTCGCCCTTCTTTGGTAGTTTCACGAGGTAACCTTTCCTCCAGTCAGTAGGCACCTTTCCCTCCTTCCAGACCTTTTGCAATAATGGAGTCAGCATGTCTGATGTAGTCTCTGGAGGGTATTTGATCTAGTCCAGCTGCTTTTCCAGCTTTCAGAAACTTGATTGAATTCAAAACTTCAGCTCTTGTTGGAGGATTGGTGTCAACTGCAGTTTTGTGCGCGCTGTTGTTGGTATTTCTGGACAGGTTGCATGTGATGGTCGGTTCAAGAGTCCTTTGAAGTGATCCGCCCATTGTTTAATCTGTTTTTCTTCCTTGGTAATTTGGTTCCCTTGGCTGTCTTTTATAGGTTTTGCAACTTCCCAAATAAGTGAATTAGTGGTCAATACGCTCTACCACTTCGCTCCTTATTTCTAAGCTAGGCGTAGTCTGTGTAGTCCAGTCCTGTAGCATCACCTGACATTTGGCGGGAGCAAATCGCATGCCAAACATTCGTAGATTGCGACTCAAGGTGTTCAGAAGACTCTGCATTTTCTCAGAGTCTTCACGTAGAAGGACAATATCATCTGCATATTCCTAGTCGGTAACAAATCAATCCGTGAGTCACTGAAGTGAGTTAGGGTGAAGTCCATTAGTACATCTATGATGAAATTAAATAGAAATGGGGATAGTGAGCATCCTTGACAGACGCCACTAGTTGTCACCACTTCAGATGATAACTCGCCGTAAGCTCGCGAGAAGCAAAAAACACTTTTTCTGCCAGACTGAGTTTTAACATTGTATCCACGTAGAACATCTATTCATTTTCAGTCAGAAATCAATTGTTTCTTTAATTATAAACTTAACAGAGTTTTGCAACAAGATGTATGGGCTCCTTTGGCTTGGTAATGCCGGTTCTGGTGGGCGCCTCTGTATTCGGAAGTATAAACGGTGAGGTATTTTCCATTTCTCGGTAAGTTATTCGTGGTAATTTTTTCTTGTTTTGCGTTCCACCTGAAAGAAGATACAGTGTGTAAAGGGTTGGGCACATTAGTTATTCTGTTAGTATTTTACCATTCATACAAGTCACAACTGAATCCATACCTATGGAACATAATTACTACTAACGATATCACAGTTTTTGTTTAATTCAACTTGTTTATAGCATAACACACTCGTGACCACTAGACCTTCACCAGCAATCAGAACTAGACAGCTATGCTGCTTTTTTGTTTTTTAAATTTTCACGTTTGCCTCTTGATTCATGTGAGTATAACTCGTTTGGATGTTAGACGTTAAACATTTAAGTTTGCATCTGATTTTTATGTAGATTCCATCTTCAGTAACTTATAACATAAAGTGAACTGTGAATGTGCAAACATGAAAGTTTCACTTTACAATATAAAATCAAAACCATATATTGTGTAAGTCATCGGTGTTCGGCGGTACAGTGATAGGATGCTCCCAATCACGCCTCATGTGGTCCGGGGGGTCGATCTCCGGTCGCTGACTCACTCCCTTACCTCGCTAAGCCAGTAATAAGACTGGTAAAGGGGATAGATTGGGCTGGGTATGAGGCTAGCAACCCTCATCCTGTAAAAATAAACGCCACTGCTACCGAAACTTCAAGCCTCTAGCTAGAAGCCCTATGTTCCACTGGGAACGTAAAGGAATAAAACATGTGGCATATGAAGGGGTGTTTTTGGATTGGATATAGCAACTAAGGCATCTTTTGTCTCAATCACGTTGAAATTAGGAGGGGTACATATCAATCTGAGTCGTTTCATTTGACAAAATTGTCATCCATAATGTTATATCATCATTTGAGTAGAATTCAACTGAAATTGAACAAGAGTCAGGCTAACAACGGTGGTAACAAGGGAGAGAAATTTAATAGAGAGTAAGCGAAGGTTAAATTCTTGAATGTTAAGACAGATCAGGTCCATTGTAGATGTTGTGATACTGAACTGCAGAATTCGAGATTTAATATGTGGATTGCCATCGATTCTACTGTTTGAAGAAGTTTGATGTACACTCTTCTAGCAAAGTTCCTTCGTATTCTGTAAATAACTGTGAAGTTCCTCTGTGGGTTGGCTTAGTGTCTAGATCCTATCAGGTGTCTCAGGATAGAGTTGTGGTGGTGGGGGACCTTTTTTCCTTTATAAAGCCATGAGGGTAAGTGCTCGATGATACGCTTGGGTAACAAACGCTGGGTACTACCGACATACCCTTTCCTCACGAGCAGGTGGATTGATAGATACACGTTGATGAGGTCAGCAGTGGTAGCTTATATTAACGTTCATGTGAATGATTGGCGTTGTGGAGAAAGTTAATCGAAGTTTAGCCCGGAGAGAAGTTTATTTTTAGTTAGGTGGTTTCTCATTATTTCTGCCAATGAGTCCCCACTGAATTGTAGCTTCAGGCAGAGAAGTACTTTTGGAACAGAAAGTGTGGGTGGTTTTAGTGGTTTAGGCTTCATGGATTTTGTAATGAAATATTTGGGTTAACCTTGTTGAACCTGGAATTACACCTTGTAATAACCTGGGAGTTTTTATGTATTAGTTCTGGGAAATTCAAGTTTAAATACTGGTCATAGATATACGCCGTCTAAGTGCAAAGTTCTTTTGCAATATTTGTTGGGGCCTGTACGTGCAGTTATCCTTGTAGGTGAACCGCTTGAAGTTATCGACAAGTTTGTATATCTAGGTAACTTTTTGAGTGCTGGCACAGGTGTGATGCATGAGATTTTGTTGTTGTGCCTTTTTTGATCAAACTAGCGTACACGTATATCCCAGTACTTCTTCGCGTTTATTATTGTGTCCTAACGTTGTGGTTACTCGACATCCACAACGTAGATCAAAAGGCACTTGAGAAGGAGTACGAACGTGTATTCTCGCAGTAGTCGAAATTCAAAAGTTGAGTGAGTACAAAAGTATCAATTGTTAACACGCAATCTTTAGAGTGATGAACAAATCAGAGTCCAATTACATAGTGAAAGTATACTACGATGATGAGTAATAAAATGGGTCACTACAATTTCTAATTGCATAGTAAAGGTTAGGATGGCCTACGACATTTTCAGTCACCTTTGAGGCCTTTTGGACGTCAGCCTGATTTTCAAATTTTGGGTTTACAATACTTCGGTGGGCGCAATCTTGCTCTATGCCTGTCAAACCTGGACCTTCTGCGTATTCGATCATCTCTGTCTCCATAGAATTGTCCTTATTCGATGGATTTATCGCATCAGTAATCCCGAGGTCCAGTGGCGTGTATTTCGGCAAGGCAGAGATTACTATTCATTGAATTTCGTCACTGGAAACACAGGCTTCAGTGGCTCTGCACGAATGTCATCCCAGAAACTTTCGTACCGATCTCCGTTCGCCGCTCCTGGGACTGGATGGAAACAGTGGAAATGTGGTCAGCCTATGACGCGGAGTCATATGATGAGGGATATTTGTGTTAGATTAACATCATTTGGCATGTCACGACTCCCTGGTCAGGGTCTGAAGGATCAGTGTCTCGAAAGGTTGTGAGATATATGACTTGATCTCGATAAATATGCTTTGTTGGCTTCTGGATAACATTCCACATTTATTCCCTGCTTATTTTCTATATATAATATTTGTTATGTGGTGCATCTCTTGGTGCCTATATTGTACCAATTTCATGTTTTTGAAACAAATAAATAATAAATAATCTTAATTTTAGATTGGCACTTACTGCTGGAGAGGAAGGACATATGCCTGCTCTACTTTCAATGGTTAACATTGAACGTCTAACTCCAATTCCCTCGGTGTTATCTGTGGTAAGTATACTTTGGAGTGTGTTTCATGTACACTTCCCTTTCTTAACACAAGTACTGAGCCTAAACGCCCAGCGAAATTTCTGTGGTATTATGTCAGTGAGTGTTCTGCCGTCATCCTCATCATCTATGAAGTAAGCTCACTTATGACTTTTCTTTATTCAGTAAGATAATAGGGTACTCTAATCAACTGGCGGATGCATCAGTGGCTCAGCGATAGGATACTCTCCAACCACTCATATGGTGTAGGGTTCAATCCCCGGCCGCCGACTAACTCCTAAATCTCTTTCTGACCTGGCAGTAAAGACGATAAACTGGGAAGGTTTGACGTGAATGAGGCTAACAACCCCACCGCATAAAAATAAGACCTCCGCTACCCAAACTTCAGATCTCAAGCTGGAAACACAAAAGAATAAAGTAAAGGAAAAAAATCCACAGGTGGCCTAAAATGGCTGTTTGTTTTTTGAAGCTATAAGTAGATGAAATACTATAACAACTGTACAGGATCATAAATGTATTCGGCATGTTAATAAGATAATCAGATAATATTGATACCGCTGCTCCTGAATGCCAATTGAAAAAGTCTAGCGACATGTTGAATACTACTAGTGTCAGTAGCTTTTGTTAGTTGTGTCTCATATACTAGTCATTCCAGACAAAAGCATTATTTGGTCGTCTCACGTGGTTCCTCATTATTATTATTATTATCCACTTGGGTTCCAACTGGAATATAAGGACATCAATAGAATATTTCCACTTTTTCCTCTACTCCCCAATCCTCTTCGGCTGGACATACGATCACTCATAATCTCTCGTTTCCCCTTTACACGATCCCCTTTTTGTCACTCTCACACTCTCCACTGGACTGTCGCTTACCACTAGTGTTACACTTGAGCGATGGCCTGGCGCGAAGTGTCACCTCAAATTTTTCCTCCATGTGTATCTGATCCGTCTCCAGCTTGAATAATCTGTATACTGTTACATTAGTACTTCTGCTTATCGTCTATGCAAATCCCCAGTTAAGTAGCCGTAGGATAAATAAATCCGAAATATTTTCATTTATGTCATATAATAGACAATCAACAATTAGTGTTCACATATCACCCTTAGGAACATGATAATTTGGGGACAATATCTATTATTCCCAACAACAACAAAAACAAGATTAGCCGACCAACATATTTTTATCTGTAAAATGAGAAAACGGATCAAATCCCCTACAAACTAACTCTTAACTCAATCGTCTCCTAAAAATTGATCTCATGGCTCGCTAGTGACTGACTGCCTACAGGACGATGTTGTCTGGGGTTCTAGTGAGGGGTAATGGCCAGTCAGGTCATCCGGTCGGGAGTGAGGACACATACTAGTCATCGATGGTGCTACGCCGAAATTACGAGTTGGTAGAAGTCGGAATTGACTCACTTGGCCATTGGGTTGGGTCCCAGTGGCTTAATGGTCTACAGGCTTGTCTTGTAACCGGAAGGTCCTGGGTTCGAACCTCTGTGATGAGTGCGTACTGTTGACAATAGCCCCCCAGTTCTTCCTGATATTCATTCTTCCTCTAACTGACATCAATCTGTGGTTAAAGTTGAAACAAAACAATGTTTATTGCGTATTTTTCCGTAATTCGGGGTTTTCCAGTTCTCCTTACGATCTTATAGATCGTAAGCTTTTTGTGCATTTCATAATAAAGATAATAAACACTGTCATTATCATCTTCATGATTATGATTATTTCTAATGTTCTGAAATATGTTCTGTCGAAAATAAACTCCTAACTTTCAAAGAATCCATCTAGCTTGTTGCAAGCATAAAATTAGGCTTTATATGGAAAAGAGATTTGCAAGTTTGGTAAAATAGATCTCTCAAATATACAGCATATTTCGACATGGTGAACTTTAGAAAGTCGTTTGTTCAAATAATTTAAACTGACATTTGTTTTGGTGTTCCGCAAGGTTTGGCATTTAGTCGTCAATATTTTATCATGACACTAGGAAACTCTGTTAACACCTACTTTATATACAAGTAAATTGTTCCTGGGACAAACATTTGTGCATGACACTCGCCAGCCTTCAGTGTAATTGAACTTTTTGATTTTGATATTAGATGGTTAGGGGCGAAGGCGTACCTGCGACCACCTTGGAGGAACTCATGTCCCTTCTGAGATTCGAACCCGTGTCACCCAGTGAGTTCTGCAGTCAGTGACGTCACCACTGAGCTATTCGGACTCGCGACTGACCTCGTGTAGGACTGTATGGATATTTTATTGATTGGACAATAGTCATTAACTAGTGTAACGTGTCTTCTCCTTTGTTTGGTGCAGACCGTATTCTATTTATGAAGTCAAAGTATCCAATACAGTTCTACAGGAGGTCAGTCGCCAGCTCACACAGCTCAGTTACAACGTCTTTGACTGCAGCACTCACTGGGAGACGGTGAGTTAAAATCTCAGAAGGGACATGAATTCCTCCAAAGTGGTTGCAGCTACGCTTTGCTGACTGACTAGTGAGTACCAACAAGCACGAAACCTAGATGGAAGGCTTCCTGCAGATTGCCTCCAACAATCTAATAACAACAACTCATAGTACACCGTGATAACAAGCCATCTAGCTTGTCGATGGTCATATTACAAACATGACTGATAGAATTCAGTCTGCAGTGCGTCGGTGGCACAGTGGTTAGGACTCTCGCCAACCATTCACATGGTCCGAGGTTCGAGCCCACGCCGACGCACACCTGATATCTATGGTTGGCCTGCAAAATTTGGGCTACCGATATCCACGCTGAAAATTTCATACTTGTACCAAAAATACAATGTGGAATCAAGCTGTAATCAAAAATTAAAAATTAAAAATTAAATTAAAACGACTAGACTCCTGGCACTAGTTAGTTTCCAATCATAGTATCTTTTTTTAATCTTGATTTGACTGAATGAAAACATGACCTTTTCGGTAATATTGAATTATAAGTGCTTTGAATAACTGAGCGGTGGTACACTCTTGGTAGTCACTAATTCGATTAATCGAATCGTTAGATATTAAGTAGCTTCCAATAACTGACAAACACTAAGTGTCGATCGTCACATGATACAAAATTTGCGACGATATGGGAATTCATAAACATCCAGAGTTGAAAGCATGTCACTCAAACGAAACAGTAGTCAACAGGAATGTGGGCATCGACCCAATATGTATACATTGCAACGATGAAACAAAACAACTACAATTTAGAGTACACAGTTGATAATGTCCTTCTAGACGTGAAGACAGCGAGTAGAAATCTTGGTATGAAAACTTCCTATGTGGTGTAATTAAAAAACACATAAGTAAGCAAAGGGATTGATTTTCGAAACTTCACTTATTTGAGGGTTTATAAATATATAATGTTAATTGACAAGAATAGTCGTAGGTTATTGTCGGTTGGTAATAATTCAGAGTGTAGGAGAAATAACAATCTATGGGAAATAGTGAATAACCTCGCGTCATTGAAAGGATTGACAACTCCTTGGTCTATTGATAAACTATCATTTGGAGATAAATGATAGGAAACAAGAGCATAAAGCATTGATTTTGTTTGTTTGTTTGTTTTCGACATAGAACTTTGCACAAATGTGCGGAAGTTCAAGTCGCCACACTCCGTGTAGCACGCGAAGCAAGAGAAGAAAGTACAAGAAAAGCATAATAGAAACAGTGAGCAGAGGTGTGAGACAAAGGAGTAATAAAGAAATACAAAACAATTTCATTGAAGATCATAAGTCACAGGGAGTGGATGCATCTGCGCCACTGAGAACGATTTTGAGCCATGTCACCAATTGTTTCCAACCATAGATTTTTGCCGTCCCGAGGACCCCAGCCTGGAAGTCTACACCTTCCTACATGGCTAAGACCAACTGTTGTGGATTTCATTGACTGATGCCAAGTTTTTGTTTGACCGCCGCTAGCTTTTTTCCAGCCTGACCCTATATCCGCTAACATAGCTCGTCGAGGGAGGCGATGACTTGGCATACGTAACACATGTCCTAACCATCTCAGTCTTTGTAGCTTCACGATAATGGGTTACAGAATGAAAAAAACGACAAAATAGTCGCGTGTAACATGATGCTTCAGGCCTGGTCTGCACTTACATCTGGCTGAAACATAGAGAAGTTGCATCAGCTCTAGTACACTGATTACTGATAAAGTATCAACATGAATACAAAAGGCTTACCATCTCTGGAGTAAAACGTGATATCTGGCGAGCTTAGCGGACGGCGATTCTCTCTGTCCCTGTAAGATGAAACCAGGAAGACCCGAAATGAGTAACTGTCTTTTACCACTGACTGACTGGTTTCAACATAGAACTTTGCACAGATGTGCAGCAGTTCAAAACGCCAATTTGCTCCCATGTATCACACAAAGCAAGAGAAGAAACTACAGACAGATTCAAAACAGAGATAATAAACAGAAGTTTGAGTCAGGGAAAAAGACTAGTAATTATGAAAGAACAATAGAGTACTGTCGGGTATGACAAATCACAGTGAGTGAATGTATCTGTGCCATCCGGTACAATTTTGAGCCATATCACCAGTTGCCTTCAGCCGTCATTGCTTTTTAACATCCCGAGGACCTCAACCAGTTAGTCAGTCAGTCAGTTAGTCTACATCTCCCTACATAGCTGGCCAAAACTAACTATTGAGGATTTCGTTGACTAAGAATGTGCAGATGATATAGTCCTTCTAGGTGATGGCGCTGACAAAACGCACAATGTTCCGAATACCTGAAGTTGCAGTCTACGAATGTTTGACACGCGGTTCGCTCCCACAAAATGTAAGATGATGTTACAGGACTGGAATACATAGACTACGTCTAGCTTAGAAATAGGGAGCGAAGTGGTAGAGCGTGTTGACCACCAATTCACTTATTTGGGAAGTTGCATCAGCCAGTACCAACGAGTTGATCGCTGAGGAAATAGCACGGATACACAAGACAAGTTTCTCATATGCCAATTTACGCCGTCTCTGGCCTAGACGTGATATACTGCTAGCTGGCTATCGGCCAGAGGGCGGGTGTACTGCTCATCATTCCGCTCCGTCCTCATTTATGGCTGTGAGACCCGGCCACTGAGAGTAGAAGATATGGAAAGCATGACTAGCTGTCTTTGATCACAAGTGACTGCGTTCTATCTCTCGTGTTAGGCTGTAGGTGTAATAGGCTGATTAGTATTGAGGTTAGACACCGGTTGAGTGTTAGGTGAGGAGGGGAAATCAGTCGACGAGGCTGTGAAACTACATCGACTGAGATGGTTAGGACATGTGTCACGCATTCCTAGCCTAGTCATCGCTTTCCTCGAAGGGGAAATTTTAGCTGACATAGGTTTGATCAGGTTGGAAAAGAGCTAGCGTCAGTCAAACCAAAACATGGCCTCATCGATCAATGAAATCCACAACAGTTATTTTAAGCCAGCCACGTATGAAGGTGTAGACTTCCTGACTGGTTGATGTCCTCGGGACGGTGAACACCAATAGCTGGAGACAATTGGTGATATGGCTGGCTCAAAATCGTTCTCAATGTGTGGCGCAGATGCATTCACTCCCTATGACTTTTAATTTCCAATGAAACTGTATTTTTCTTCCATATTACTAATATTTTTGCCTTATACCTCTGTTTACTTTCTATTGATTTGCATTTCCTTTTACTTTCTCCTCTTGGTTTTTGTGGTAAGTGAATTGTGGCGACTCGAACAACTCACATGTGTGCTCTTTTCTAACCGGATCCATCTTTTCAGCTAACATTACTTGTCGAGGAGGCAATGGCAACACAGGCATAGCATATGTCTTCCTCATTTCCACTGATGTAGCTTTACAACCTCATCGATTGATTTCCTCTCCTTACTTAACAATCGATGCCTAAAGTCAATACCACTTACTCTATTATATCATCTAACATGAGAGATAGAACGCAGACACGTATGACCAAAAACTTCTGATGACTATGGCAAATGCTAAACGGGCCTCCTGTATCCATCCTGAGATTTCATCAGCTATCAACCTTTTGGTGCTGGCTGATACAACTTCCCAAATAAGTGATTTGGGGGCCAACAAGTTCTACCACTTCACTCCCATCTTGAGGCTAGGAGTCAGTTTAGTCGAGTCCTATAGCATCGTTTTCATTTGATACGGTTGGAGGAATCTCATGCCAAACATTCGAAGATTACTGCTGCTCAAGGTGTTCAGAAGACGGTGCATTTTATCAGTGCCTTCACCTAGGAGAAAGGCTATTCCCTGGTAACAGGAAAATTAATTAACTTGAAATTAATTTCACTATCTATACAAAATTATTAAGAACAAACTGTAACCCAGTACTTGTCAGTGGGAATAAAATTTAGTACTTCGAAGACTGATTATGAAACTACTTGTCTAGTAAGAGCAATTCATTAATGGAAATACTGACGTGAATATAAAGCGAATTAGAAATTAAAGTATATTGTTGAAAACTAAAATTTGTTGTTACTTATTGTGTACATATCCATTTTTCTCTCTCTATCCCTCCTTCTCTTGTAGGTGATGTTAGCTATTACTTACCAAATGTTCGACGATATATTCTATTTAATCGAGCTAACAGGATTTGCTTTTGCTGTCATTTCTGCAATGGCTGTTGGTAGTTTACTACACATTCGTCGAACACATCCTGAAATGAATACATCTGGATTTCGGGCAGGTTACATTTTTCTGCAAACGTACACCAGATTATTATTATTATATTATTATTGTTATTACTGAAGATCAGATGGCCGGAAAGAATCACCGACAAGGAATTATGGGAACAAACAAACAAAGCAAGAACCAATCGCCCAACAAATATGCAGGAGAAAGTGGAGATGGATCGGACACTCGCTGAGGAGACCGCTGGGTGACATCGCGTGTCAAGCCCTCGAGTGGAACCCGAAAGGGAAGCGGCGTGTGGGACGTCCAAGGGAGGGTGACATGGAGGAGATCGTGTGAAGAGGAGTTGAAAGAATATGGATTAACATGGATGCAGGCGAAAAGTATAGCAGAAGACAGAAGAAAATGGAGACGTGCAGTTGAAGCCCTATGTTCCACTAGGAACCCAAGGGAGCAATAATAAAAAATAATAATGATAATTGTTTCTTTTAATTCCTAGAGGAACATAGGGATTTAGCCCCATGTATCCATTACGTTAGGTTCCCTGCCAACCTTTTCACCTGGCTCCGCGTCTACCCACAACATCACAACATTCTAACAAGTTACTTATTATGACTATGAAAACACTCGTCTTATTTCTCATCTGATTGTATTTGATTGATAACACTCATATTATTATTTTTGAAAATACATCATCCTATATTGATTTTTATTCCAATATCTAATCGATTCCACACATGTATATAAATGAAGGAAAATGGTGTGTGAGCGACTTGATATGATTATGAGCGGTAATAGTTTGTGCTCGAAACGTGGTCATCAGTTAATATTACTGTATAACACTCCAGTGTGATTTATCAAAATGAAATCTTATCCATAGTGGAGTAATACTCTACCACAGTGCTTACGTTTTATACTTATATCAATAATACTTTTGTGGACCTAACGTTATATACGGTCGATATACTTTGCTGTACACGAGTAAGTAAGTGGATAAATACACGTCGAGGCGGCCAAAAGCAGTATTTCATCCTTAACGTTAGACTGGATAGGTTATCTGCTGAAGAATATGATGATACGTAAGGTGGCTGCTTGAAATGTCTAATTCGGAAGATGGTTTCTTAGAACTTCTGCTTCGATGTCACCTTTGAACTCCAGGTTCATGAAGAGAGTTTTCTTTGGAACAGTTATGACTTTTGGTGATGGAGGCTTCTCTTTCATGCTTTTGGTTATTAATCTTGGTGTATACCTGTTCTCTAGTAAGTAGGGTTTCAGTTGATAAATTTAGTGCTTTCTCTATCGCGTCTTCCTAACAGGCTTTTTTATTCCTCGAACTCAATGTACGTAACAGGTTTTGCTTTCGGATCAGTGAGGTGATGTTCTGGAAGTTAATGCGTCATGCCAACTTCTGCCTATTTTCAAATTCCAATTAGTCACCCCATCTAGGTTGCACCTCAGATTAATAATGCATTTTTCGAGGACAAACTCCACCAGTATCTGATTGACCGTCTTATGATTTCCTTGTTAAATATCGGATATATCTTGCTCATGAATCTCTACAAATAGAAAATTTAATTTGATGCCTCGATCAGTCTAATGTCTAAGACTTTCTATTACTTCTAAATTACATAATTATATGCTCTTAAAATGCTGAAAAGTATGTTATCATAATAAGAACAGTGTGACTGTGACATTTATGTACACACACACAGATTTGTTTATATGCAAAAAATTATTTACACATAAGTGATATCAGATCGTGATCATACCCGTCACCAATCAAATCCCTACAAACTAACACTCGATAGTTACATTTGGTGTTCATTGCGGAGTGGCTATCTATAGGAGAGTAGTAGCTACGTGGAGTTCTACTGAGACATCGTAACAAGTGGGGTCCACCAAATCACGTAAGAGAACAATTACCTGCCTGTGATATTGGTTAGAGGTAGTGCTATGCATATATTGCTAATTAATGACTTTCGGGATTCATCGACTAGTCATTGGATAAAGTCTCAGTGGCTGAATGGTCTACAAGCTAGTTAGCCTGTTAACCGGAATCTGCTGGATTCGAATTCTTGCGGGTATGAACCACTGAAGAAACCAGAACTAGGACGAAATAACTATCTAGGACTCCCAGACTTTCCAGGGATCCTTTAACTGATGTCAACTTGTTACACATAACCCTTAAATACTCATTGAAAGATGAAGCCATTTGTTCTTTTGATGAACGTGGATACAAGTTACACCTGTCAAAGTTTATTTCCATGCTATCTTTGAATTGTTTTGTTGGAAAAACTGTTTAAGTGGGCACCATCCTCATTTATTGAAAAATTCACCGAAAAACCATTGTTTGTTGAGTAACTTTTCAAAGATAACGTTATTATCACTCTTTTTTCTCTCTTTTCCAGTTACCTATATTCGTCCCAGTGTTGTATCTGGTTGTCGACATTGCTATTGGAATACTGACAGTATATCAGTCTCCAAAATCCTCTGCTGTTAGTTTAGGTGTGATGGCGTTAGGCATACCGGTCTATCTTTTTGGAGTTTCGTGGAAAAACAAGCCAGAATCCATGCAGTCACTAATATGTAAGTTGTTTTTCATTGCCACGTAATTTATTTTGCACATGTAGAAAAATTAATAAGATGTAAGAAGAATTTTAGGTCGAATTGAACTATTTTCCTGCTAGACATGAAAGACCCACAGTTTTTCGACAGATGGCTCTATAGATTTATTTTCACCTTGTTGTGCCTAGTTGACATACACTTAAAATTAATATTGTGGTGAGAGCTGGCTGTTAGCCAAAATTGGTGGACTGTAATTTACGTCAGTGTTTAGGTCTGCCAATATTGGTCGTGAGAAAAATGAGAACAAAGGCTGTACGTAGGCGGATACAGTTAACATATAGATGACTTGACATTCCAGAAACAGTTAACAGAGATGCAAGGTTAACTTTCTGTGAAAAACAACCAATCAGAAGACTGTTTTTCTGCCAACAATAATCCATAATATGCACATGAAAATCTATAAATATATGTTGATTTCCTTAATAAAGGATCTGTTGCCTGTCCCTTGTCTTCTGTTGTTACAATATAACATTCAAAATTCTCATCTCTCTAACCAGGAATCTTGGATTTTTATTCATTATTATTCGAGAGTTAAATTCTGAAATATCTACCCGCCAACTTACGCCATCTCTCGCATATATGTCATATCCGGCTGGTTATTGATCAAAGGGCGTGTGTACTGCTCAGCAGCACTTCGATCCGTCCTCCTTTGTGGCTGTAAGTGAGACATGGTCATTAGAAGTGGAGGACATGAAAAGTCTGGTCAGCTGTCGTCGATCATAGATGTCTGCGTTCTATCTCCCATGTTAGGTGAAATTGTGGTGGTGTGATACAGACAATGTTTGCCAACGGAATATTATTCCCACAGCTCAGTACTACATTGGCAACAGAATACTATGTATATTTGAACATTCTATTTCATGTCATTTAATGTAGACCAAAATCACACGCTCAGTGATTGGTTAACAAATATAAATTGTCGATATACAAAGCGCGGTCTGATCAATGAAAAATATAACTTGGCTTCCATGTTTTGCCTTCTTTTGTTACAAAATAGCAGGGTGAGTGATATTGAGGTTAAGCGTCGAGTATTAAGTAAGAATGTAAAATCAGTAGATGAGGTTGTGAAGCTACATCGATCAAGGGGTCTGGGACATTTGACACGCCTGCGTAACCATCACCTTTTCCGACGGACATTGTCAGCTGACATAGGAGGGATTAGATTAGAAAAGAGCTAGTGGTGGTCAAGTCAAAACTTGGATCCACTTCATGAAATCCTTAATAGTTAGTTTAGGCCAACCATGTAGGGAGGTGTAGACTGACTGACTGACTGACTGACTAACTGGTTGAAGTCCTCGGGATGGTAAGAAGCAATAATGGTTGGAGGCGATTGGTGATATGGCTCGAAATCATTCACTGTAAGCGGGACAGATGCATTCAATCCTTGTGATTTGTTGTATCCAACAATACTCTGTTGTTCTTTCATATCACTATTCTTTTTCCCTGACTCGCACTTCTGCTGATCATCTCTGTTTTGAATCTGTCTGTAGTCTCTTCTCTTGCTTTGTGTGATACATGGATTGTGGCAACCTCGAAGTACTGCTGTACATGTGTGCGAAGGTCTATGTTAAAACCACTCAGTCAGAGTAAATAATATCTGCAAAAGTGGTCCGCTAATCTCAATCTGATGGCTTGATCGTTAGTTCACTAAAACATATATAAAAAGATATATCTTTTATCACTGAAAACTTTTCGAATGATTATTCAACATCAAGATGACTTCAATTAAAACCATTGTACCATTTGGAATTGAAGATTTCTTCTTATGTGTTTTTGGTAATTAAGTCGGTGGTCTACCAATGTGTGATAGAATCAAAGCCAATTTTAGTATACTCCACTTTGCCAGTTTGCTCTGTCCTTCGTGTGCCATGAGACATATCTCGTTTCTCGTGTATACGAGAGAAAAAATCAACTGACCTAACTCCACATAAGGAGATTAAAAGTAATCATAATTTTCAACTTGATATAAAAGTTTGAAGGCGTGAGTGAATAAAGATTACAAGGGGCTTAGAATGTAAGTGTAGAGGTTGGACTGGTTTTTTCTGTACACATAGCTCCGGTTTATCTACAATGCACACGGTAAGATCTTCTGTAATACAAGGAAGTCGGAAACACATTGCCTTTGGTAGATTTTTGTTCACTTTGTAAATGTCTCCGAATGATGTGTAGTCACTTGAGATGCTGTGATGGGTGTGCTGATGAGGTGTTCAGTTATGGAGCTTCTCATTGAATTAGTGCGTCATCGTCGCAGTCATGATGAGTATTATTCTGTAACACGTTTTGAAGGGGTACGCGTAGAACGACCTATGTACCTAGCTCCTCACGATTAAATGGACTGATATATGTAATAATAATAACAGTTTTATTCCAAACAGTATTTGGGGTACAGCTATGGAATTTTTAGCATGCATTACAATATATTGCATCTAAATGCCTCATACATTTTATAAGATTTTCGAATCAAAAAGCAACACTCAAAAATAGATAAGGAAAACAGCGTTGCGTTTACATTTCAAACAATGCAACACAGGATATGAAATATAAAGTTGATGTGTGATAGAAAGATGAGAACAACAGTGTAATAGTAACGAGGAAAGGAAAACAAAAATTAGTGGGATTATTTGTCAGAGTGCCTCAGTAAGTTTATCGTGTCATACCTAACGGATTTCTCATCACATAACAGCTTTGCCAGATAAAGTATTGTGGAGTTTTCGTACTTGGTAGTCCTAGCATATAGCCTCCTATAGCTGCTGCTTCTAGTTCTACCAGATGAAATGCAAGGAGACAGCTGCGCGTATAGAGAGGATTCTCGGGGTCTGAAAATATTGTATTCGCTAGTTTCTTACATGAAAGCCCTACTAACGGCTTTTAGTGCCCTTCTGAGCAAAGCGAAGTCTTTCTTAAGTAGTCCAAGAGAGATTAATGGGAAGCAGTAAAGAGGGATGAGTAGAATACAAGAATTTACAAACTGAGAAAGCAAAGACTGCTTTATGCCATACTGCCTAAATTTCCTAATGTAGAACTTTAAGTAAAACATCTTTCTAGTAACTTGCAAGATGAGGGAGGAGCAGGAAAGATCGGTGTAAAAACTCAGCGCAAGGTACTTGAGATTAGATGTATTTTCAACCTATATGCCATCATTGATAGTGTGGCCATGTGAGCTAACTAGTTGTTGTAGGTCACGTTTTCGTCTGAAAGTGAAATTGACTACCTGACATTTAGGCGGATTCAGCCTAAGACCGTTTGAAGAGGACCCTGACTAGTTTCCGACAGAAAGTTATTTAATTCGGAACAATCTGACTGAGAGTTGACACGCATAGAAACAGAGAGGTTATCAGCAAGCATACTTAACGAAAGTGGCTACATCAGAATGAGGGAAGTCATGTAGGAAAAACGAAAAGAGAAAGGGAGAAAGAACAGCACCTTGAGGAACACCAGCTAAATTAAGTGAGGTAGTGGAGGACTTTCCATTGTAGACGGTGTACTGCTTCCTATCAGAAAAATAGGAATGCAACCACTTATTTGTCCAGCTCTCAGCCTGTGTTGCAGCAAGCTTACTTAACAAGAGAGACCTGGGAACAGTGTCAAATGCAGATGTGTAATCAAGGAAGGCATAGCTCCTTTATCTAAACTAGAGACTATACTATGGTGTAGGACAACAGCGGCATCTAAGATACTCCTACTATGTTTATAAGCAAACTGGTTGGGGTCGTTGAAAGGTTTTAAAAGGGATCAAGATTAAGTAAAATAAGTCTTTCCATAACTTTCAAAAAGTGAGGTAATAGCAATGGGTGTAAACTTAACATTAGGTTCACTTGTTGATATATATATATAGAAGTGGCCATATTCGGAAGTTGGTTCTTCACATCGCTTAGAAGCAGTGGGCAGCTAGAGAATTTTACTCTTATAGTTGTTGCAAGAAAGGTCTTCCTTTCGGGAATCAAAGATTTTCCTCTTTAGGTTATCAACTGCCAAGTCTCTATTCTGAAGTCCAGATTCAAATATGGTGTTTTCTTTGGTACTGAAGTGCATTTTCCTCTTTTTTTTGATTTACAGCTTGATTCCACACTGTATTTTCGGTACAAGTATGGAATTTTCAGCATGGATATCGGTAGCCCAAATCTTGCAGGCCGACCATAGATATCAGGTGTGCGTCGGCAGTGGATTGAACCCTGGACCATGTGCATGGTCGGCGAGAGTCCTAACCACTGTGAAACCTGCCGAGTATCCATTTTAAGCCAAGATTTTTCTCAGAAATAAGACTTCTTCTTCTAAGCAATCAATGCTGCAAATTCTTTTGAAACTATTTTACATATGACGCAACTATTTCCTAGTCCTGTGAGTCATTTTGTTTCCAAGTTGTTTGTAATCTATGTTCACTCACACCTTTGAACTTTCACATTAAGTTGAAAATTATTACCATCTTTAATCTCCTTTCGTTATGTAACGATAGAAGACAAAAGTCAGGCAACAGATCGTTTATTTAGAAAATCAACAGATATTTATAGGTGTTTTGTACAGTATTACATGCGTTATTGTTAGCAGAGAAGCAACGTCTTCTGATTGGTTGGTTTTCTGGTGAAGGTTATTTTGTCATCTCTTTGTTAGCGTTTCTTAAGCAGTCTGGTGGTATATCTGCGAATCATATCGGCCCATGCTAAATCTATTGTGATTGGTTGTTGAGTTCCTCAAGGTTAGATTTTGTTTGTTTTCTCTCCCGACCAAGATTTTGGACGTAAACACTAACTGCAATTGTTGTCTACACTTTTTTCATGCAGACAGCTGTCACCACAGTTAGCGCTGATAATGAAATAATAAATGTACCTATGTGAAAAATCACGATCTCTCAGATGATTTATATTTGATTTCACCCACACTCAAAGACTTGCAAAAGAAAACCAATAAATTGGCAGAAGAAGCAGGCAGCGAAGGCAGGACTTCAGGTGAACATAGAGAAGATGGACGGTGGTGATGAAGATAGCCAAGGAACAGCAATCAGCACCAGTTACCGTCAGGGGGAGTGATTTAACAGAGGTTACGTCCTTCACTTATCCATCCAAGAAGCATCGTTTCAACCACAGGCCGGTTGGACGGATGAAGATGTCAAAACCAGTCAGCCAGCCAACCAGAATGAATAAGAAAGTCAAGATACACCTTCATCAACCTGAAATCAGTTTGGAAATCATTTGCACTCAACATAAGGAACACGATTCGGATTCACAACACAAATGTAAAGTCAGTCACTTCTTCTCTATGGGTCAGAAACTTGGCCAGCTTATCACGAAAAGTATTTTCAAAAAGTTACAGACTTCTGTCAACAGCTGCTCACCTCACTGGCTGAATACTAAAGTGTGAATCTTCAGGTGACCAGAAAGAATTAGCAATAAGAAACTCTAGCTAGCAACAAACCAACCAAGACCTTATTGCTCAACAAAATTGTAGGAGAAAATGGAGATTGATTGGGTATACGTTGAGGAAGCCATCGAATGACATCGCGTGCAGTGCAGGCCAGTGCTCGAATGGAATCCAAATGGGAAGCGACAAGTGGGTCGTCGGTGTGAGGATGACGTGGAAGGAATTGTGTGAGGTAAAGGGGATGAGAGATTATGGGAAATCGTGAACCCAGATGAAAACGACGGCAGAAGATAGAACAATGTGGAGATATTAGATGGCTGGAAGCAATCGGCAGGAAGCCTTGGACCTAGATTTCGTGCTAGTTGGCACTCGTCAGCAAGGCGTATCTGCAATCACCTTGAAGCAACTCATGTCCCTTCTGAGATTCGAACCCCGCGTCACCCAGTGCTGCAGTCAGAGACGTTACCACTGAGCTATTCGGGCCCGCGGTTGACCTCCTGTAGGACTGTAGTCGATATTTTGATTTGACACTAGTAACTAGTGTGATGCATCTAGTCCTCTGATTGGTGTAGACTGAATTCTATCAGTCAGGTTGTAATGTGACCACCATTCCTGCCGATTGACTCTAACCATGTAATACCATAAAATCAATGTGCACTGTGATGGCGAGCTGGCTAGTATAGTGGTCACATTACAACCTGACTGATAGAACCCAGTCTACACCAATCGGAGGAGTAGACGCATCACACTAGTTACTAGTGTTAAATCAAAATGTGGAGATATACTGTTGAACCCCTATTTTCCACTCGGAATCCAATGGAATAATAATGATGATCAATATAAACTCATTTTTATGAACGCTATTGTACATCTGCTTTCGAGAATGAAATCGCAGAGAAGAAATCTTCACTAGGCTTCTTGATCTTTTTTTCGCTGACATTTCTCTAAGTGTTTCCGATTGGTAGTTAGTCTTATCTTTACTAAATGAATTATCTAGCTGAAAACAATGTTTGCTATGTCTGAGTATGTTATTGCTGTCTGATATCTTTACCTCAGCACAAAATACTGTAATTGATAGCCTTACTTGTCCTCTTTTTTCTTTTAAATGCTAAAGTTGTTAATGTCTCGTCATTAGGTGACTAGATTACTAGCGTTAAAATTCAAAACTACTGCCTGACACATTCTCACTTTATGTTGAACGTCGCAAAATAACCCTATGAGAAATGCAGAGATTAAGGCGTATCATTTTAGTTAGCCTGAGGGTTAGTATTTGATGACGTTATATGTGAACATTTATCATCTAGAATGTCTGGTATATATATATATATATATATATATCAAGCACATCAATGAACATTTCGCTGTCAAATGACCGCAGTGTCAGCTGAACTAGAATGAAATTTCGTCTACTGATACTTTCCATTGAACTGTTGAAACTATGACATGTTCACCCTGGTTAAGATCTATGCGAAAACTCGGATCGTTACTTTGCGACTAGTTGATGTTATGCACAACAGTTTAGTTTTTAAATGAGTAGATAAATTTATTTCTATTATGAACACAATATTCAGCGAAGAGACGCCTTTCAAGAACGAATTTATTATCAAGCTGTCCAATCGTATATACATATATATGGTTCTTTTGAGAAATTATATCCCGTGCAGGAATTATAGCAAAAGTGTGAACACATGGAATAATCATAGTAGTATGAAATGCAATTAAAATATTCGTGATTATAATCCAAGTTCAATGTCAAGTGGCAAAATAATTAATGTCATATATAGAATAATACATAAGATGTATAGATTTTGGAAAGGGGTACATAATTATAAGATTAGTAGACGAATATAAAAATGCTACATAACATGGTGTGAAATTTAATAAGACAAAATTCAATATTGCAAAAATAAATAAATAATAATTTCTGATTTAGAATGTCAAGTGGGACAAGCAGAAACATTTCAAAGTGAGTATAGTAATAATAACAATAATCGTAGTAATAAGGGAAAAGTACATAGAATAACTAAATAAACAAAATAAATAAATGTCTATCCCTCTACGGCCAAGGCAAAAGTAGGGATTGTACATACTTCTTTTGTACACATAGTTCTGGCTTAAATTCATGAATTGCCAAGGCCTCAGCTGTCTTTAGAAGTCTGTAACGAAGAAAATGAGGTAATTTAGCATGGATTCGGTAGATGATGTTAAAATCTTGGTCAGGGTTGGCAGAGTGACGCGAGTCGATAAGGTGTTCTAGAATACAGATTCGAACACACTTCCTTTTTCCCTTGTAAAACCATGCTGGAATATGTTCTCATATCCGAGTGGAAAGCGTTCCCTGGCTACGATCAATAAAAGCAAGTGAATTGGGAGATGCACATGTAGGCGGCCAGACAGGGGAGGTTATCTTTTACACAGATGGAGAACAACTTGCGGCTGGTGAACGTCATTTGTAATTTTGCTGCGAAGAACGTCTTACTGACTGATTTAGAGAGACGATTTTTGTGTATATCTGAAGCTTGATCACCTTTGAATTCCAAGTTCATGAATAAGGTTTTCTTTGGAACTGAGTCGGTGACCAGTTTTAACTGCTTATCTTTCATGTTGCTGCCAATAAATCGGTTCGGGTAACCGTTTTCTGCAAGCTTGGCTTTTATGAAGTCTAGTTCTGAGTCAACGCAATCAGAACTACAAATGTATCTTATCCTAAAGCAGAGCGAGTGAATGAATTTGGTTCCTTTTCCTGGAGATAGACACCCAACTATAAAAATTAGTTAGTTATCCGTTCTGGATACGTTTCCGGTGGATGGATCTTTTGAGAAATCCGCCGTCTTTACGTCTACTAAGGCACACATCAAGAAACGGAATACTTATTTTAGATTCCTTTTTTATGGTGAATTGTAAAGAAGGATGGCAGTTGTTGATAAACAGATAACGAATGTGTCGTCTACGTATCTTTTGTAAATGTCGAATTCCAAAATGGAACTCCGTTACTAAGTCTTTTGTCTTCTACAGTTACAGTAGAATTATTTCAAATACACATGGGTCTTTATTTCGTAAATGTATTTTTTAGTTAACTGTGACAATTCCAATCTTCTTTAAGGTGTTCATTAAACATGGATCGTTTCAAATAATGTTATCTAAATATCTGTTTATTATTATTGTTATAAATGTTATTTACAATCAAATATCTTTAAATATATACCTTATTTTGTACAGATCAAATCACAGTTACTTTGCAGAAAGTTTTAAAAGTTGTTGAACAAGAAACTGCTTCTGACACTGTAAAAGAAAATGATATTCACATGAAATCTGCACCATCATCTCCTGAAATTTCTTGGGGTGTTACAAAATAATGATGATAATCATGATGATGATGAGTGATTGGGAGAGAAAATTCCTATAATCTGTGTGTGTCGTTTATTAATGAACAACCCCACCCTGACTTTTATCTATCTATTATGTACTTCTGCTGATACACTACTATTGCGCTGTGAAATTGATTCGACAACCAACCCTGTGTAACCCCTTTTATCTTTTATCATCAGAGCTTGCGCTATTCTCATCATCAACCTTTTTCACGCTTCCTCTTCTTGTTCCTCCTTCGCCTCCTGTTTAAACGCCGTCTTTTTCGTGCCATTATGCCTTATCGTTTTGTTTTTCTTGTATTTTGTGAATTATACATGTGTAGTGTCATTGCATAACGATGATAACAACAGAATCCTTATTCCCGTTTTCGCTTAAATCCAGTATGATTATTATTGTATTACCACCTCATTGCCCAGTTATGCGCCACATTAGTCTTCCATAGCATCCACCCACCCTGCTGCACGCCTCCTCTATTTATTTAGTGGGGCGACAGATACCCTACACGTGTGTGGGTAGATGCGTGTATGCATACAATAATTTTGTTTATTGAATTATGAGAACATACATCGATGTATTCACATTTAAAACTGTCAGATTTATTTCAACGAAGATATAAATCCTATATGTATATGATTGCTTGAAGTCATTGAATGTTATTCGTTAGAAGAAGGAACTACAAAATGTGTGTAGGTGACTGTGTACGATTGTCACAAATAACTGAATATCCTTTATTCTTGAAACATTTATTTAAATTAGGGTTTTATACATATATATGCAAACGAGTGTGTCGTTTACACTAAAACATTTTACTTTTGAAAAACTCATTGTTCATTGTTCAGTCAAACTAATCATCTCTGCCACCTAACCTTTTGAAAATGTATGTTTGCGTTAAAAGGTGAGGCAGTAACTCATCGAAGAAGATATTGTGAAGTGGTCAGGCTATGTCATGAATTGGGAGAAGTTAGAATTCATGAACTGGCTATTGGATCAGTCTGATCCCAGTGGCTTAATGGTCTACGAGCTCGCTGGCCTTGTAACCTGAAGGTCCTGGATTCAAACCCGAGTAGCGGGTGCATACTGCTGAAGAGTCCCAGATTACGATGGAGGAGAAAGCTGTTCAATACTCCCTGCAGGTTCTCCAATGGTTCTCTAAATGATGTCGGCTCACTTTAAAATGTTACATCATATATCAGCTTGGTGATGAATTGAAAGCAATTTTAGTTACCTTTCAATGTCATTGACATGCTGATCTTTATAAATTTACTTCTTGGAATCAAATGTGTGGGTGGCACAGCGGTTAGGATTCTCGCCGACCATGCACATGGTGCGGGGTTTGATCCCCCGCCGACGCACACCAATGGTCAGCCTGCTAAATTTGGGCTACCAACATCACTTACTGAAAATTCCAAAGTTGTACCAAAAAATACTGTGTAGAACTAAACCATATTAAAATAAGTGAAAAAAAATAAAAATAAAAACTTGCAATCGATTTTAATTTTAGTGCAAGGTAGGGCGGCTGGTAGTAGTTGGGATCGAGGATCCTGACTTCCCCAGTGAGTGTTGATGGTTGGCTTGGACCTAGTATACCAATGTTTTCAAATGTCAAAGCGTTTTATCCGTCCAGAACACTCGAGTGACAATGGCCACCCCCACCTGTGCAATTTTTTTGGTTCCTTCACGTTACCATTGGAATATAAGGCTTCAAGCTACAACTTTGAAGTAGTAGTGGTATTCACTTCTACGGGTTGCTAGCCTCATGACCGACCTTCCCTTTTTGCCAGTCTTATTACTGGCATAGAGAGGTAAAGGAGTGAGTCGGCGGTCGTGGATGGAACCCCGGACCACGTGAGAGGTGGTTGGCGAACATCCTATCACTGTGCCACTGACTCCACTTGTGCAATGGGTGTCAATTATTTTTAATCTTTATATATGTCCAAACCAAGTTCACTTTTAACAGTTTGAAAATATTTCAGCATTGGGTATATGATATTCCTTATTATAAAGGCTTTTTTGTATTTCCCAATGAATGAAAAACAAAACGATATTGTCTTTTTTTACTGACGTTTCGCTATCAAATTCTGCTCATAGCTTTATAAAAGTAGTAATATTAAATAAGAACTTACAAAATCTCCTCAGCTTATGTAAAACAAATTTATTCATCGTTCATATGCATGGGATAATTTTTGACGTTGTTAAGTTAGTTAGGAAAAAAATATCAAACATTACTGGGACTCTGAAGAAAAATCACTACCTGAAGAATTTCATCAACAAAATTAACACCGACATTAAATATGGTCAGAAACTGTTGTGTACTCGTCAAGTAGTTAATAGTCCTGACGCGGAAAGAGGGAAATCAGAAGACCACCAGGTTTACGATAATACTTGTATTTTCCAGACAAGGAAAATAAATGTCACACTAGTGTGTGAGTGAAATGGTACGAGTGTACGAAATGTGGGAAAACAAGAATTATGTACAAGAATGATAAATTAAGGGTACATATGAAAATGGCTAATACACATGATCCAATAAGATAACGTCTTACCATGATTGGTTGTAATGTCATGTGATAACATGGCCATACATAGACAAAAGCATAATGTCAGTTATAATGGAATATCGATCCATATACACAGCAAAATGTAACAGACTATCAAAAACAAACACACACATCATGTGGATACATATCAATACCTCTTCTGTCAATTTGTTGACTTTCCCTATAAGTTGTTGAGTTTGTGTGACACTAGACATAAGAAATTCTGTGAAATCCTGTCGTTTGCCATGGTCTGTCTCATGATCCAACCCATCCCATTTACGCTTATTATCGCTGAATGTAGACAGTTTTATCATTAACTTCTATCTTCACTTGAAAACCTTTGCTAATTTTTCCATTGTGGATCATTTAACACGTGGCACTCTCACATAACTGTTGAATGAGATTGATATATATATATATATATATATATATATATATATATGAGGCACTTCATAGTGTTGAAGTAAATTCAACTTACGAGACTGAATTAAGTAGTGAATTACTGTAGCTAACCTGGAATATTCACTTGATAATATCTTGGAAAAATTCCACTGAAGTCGAAAAATCCTTATAAAAAAACAAGAGTTGGTTTATAGGAGTTCTATATGTTTCAGTCTAGATTACGGATCGATATCAGTTAGAGAACCATTAAAAATCAGCAGAAAGTATTAGACAGCCAGCTGATTCATTTTACTTTGGAACTCATTGGTAGTACGCACACATCACCAGAGTTCGAACCAAGGACCTTCTAGTTACATAGCATTCAGTCTTTAGGGACCAGCTCAAAGTCCATGAATTATAACTACTACCGATTCGTGTATTTAGCACGACCACCAACCTATGTCATCGGCGGGATATCCATTCACGTTCCGACTGGATGAAGTGCTAAACTTATCATTAGTTGCTAAGAGATAGAAATCATACTACATAGAGTCAGGCGTCAGTGGTTGAAAACGAGGCAGATTCACTTGTAACCGGAATGTCGTGGTTTTGAATCCTGGTGCTTGATGCGTATAGCCGATGATCCACAAAAAATCTAGGATGAAACAGCTGGCTGTACAGTACTCGTTGATGGTTCAATGGTTCACTAAATGTTATCAATCCATGGATTAACCTGAAACTTACAATAACAGTTTCATTCTAGACAACACTTTAACACACAGAAGAGAATTTTCAGAGTATTTAGATTTCAAAATATCTACTCTTCTTACAGGATCTTCAAGTACGATGGTGTTTGGAAGCACACCGTGTGACGTTATGTTATTCCATCTGAAACAATATCCGATTCTCTAAGATATTCTCTCCTGATTTCCTTTGATATATGTCCTGCTTTACGTTGATAGGAAACTAAATCTATCTGAGAGTTCATGTCACGACGAACCAAACTCACAGTTGGATGGTTGATGAAGTGAGCATTGTGCATTATATACTGACGGGAATTCAGTAAGCCTAGTCATTTAAACAAGCCGCCAAATAAAATCCTGTCTACTCATCCTCTGCATTCAATTTTAGTTGAGAAATATTTCAAATATATTCATTTCAATCACCTATTCAATACTAAACTTCAACAGGAAGTCAGCTTAGCTGCTGGATGAAGTTAATAGGTGGATTAAGCGCCTCAGTTTTCACCTTGAAAATGTGATATCATTGCTTTCGGTGCATGTAACCAGCTTCCGATTTGTTATGTGAAGAAGGGGGGTTGTGGATATCAATGCGTTACTGACCATATAATTTATGTATATCTATATATTGTTTCGTAAATGTGCTGATACGACAGTGAAATATAATTTCCATCTGACATCGTTGTGTATTCTTGCCTAAGTAGGACAGGCTGGGGAAATATGAGGTATGAAATTGTTGGATTCTTCGATTTTGGAGACGTTTCCTAAGCAACCAGTCTAGAGGCCACGGTAGTCTTGAAATCATTGCAGTTATGCAGATATCTTGAAAGCTTGTTATCAACCACTGAACAAACGTCCATCGACCTAGCTATTTACGCAATACTAATCGACACCAAAAGATGACACTGCCACCGTCCTAATGGCATTGGTCCGCCTGGCTCTTCTACAAATCTTGTCCGTTTAAGCACCGTCGATACCACGAAGGTAAATGTGTCGGAGAAAAACACGGTTTCAGGCAATGAGCCACACAACGTCAATCACAACGGCCTTCCTTGACAAGTCAATGGAGACACCATTCTCAATGAGCACCTGCCGGCCAGAAATTCATCAGTGTACGGACTCTCCACCCCGAACAGATCGCAAAGCCTGTTTCTTAACCAAGAACTCCGTGCCATGTATTTCATCACCACAAGTGGATGTAAAATTCTCTTGTTTTAAACAACAAGCTTTCCTCAGTTGTATCAGAGTTTCTCAAGCACTGACGGGGAGGAGTACACGGGCTACCTGTGGCTGATTCGTAAGCAGCCACAAAATAATTTCATGTTCGAGCACGACGTAAAAACCAAATACGATGCCGTACACCTACAGATAGAACGATTGGAACTATATTTTGAATTATTAAGAAATCTTGACGAAATGATCCGTGACCACAAGATGTCTGGTAATTACACTTTGCGAATATCTGCTTCCTTTTAGACATAATTTTATTGGTATATGGTGTGAAAGCACCAGATAGAAGCCCTTCCTTCTTCTTTCTATCCCTCCAATGCACTTGGTACCTCAAGTTCATGTAAAAATAATAAATGCACTTGGAGGTGACATCCTGTTTGGATTGGCTGATAAAGCATTACCAGCTTAGCTTCAGGGAAACTTCTTTTTATTGCTGGTTTCATCTGGTAGCCTGCTTAAATCACTGGACTACCTGAATTACTTTCTATCAAAATGCTTAGAGCTTGCTTCATATTTTATTGTTTTGATCTTGTAATTATATCTGATGACGAGTACATGAACTCTCGCGCATATTTATTTAATTAGTTTCCCCGCATACGCTATGCAATTCTTGAAGGAACTGAAGAAAACGTGTACAGAATTGATTATCTCTTCATATGCGACAACACTGTGACGCAATGATGTACTTCAGATTATTGCTTTATGTACATGTAAATTCTGTATGAAGAGAAAATATTCTGGAACTAAATACATTGCAAAATTTTGTAATATATGTTCACATGTTGTCTGAAATAAAGCTTTGCTATTATTATTATTTCTATTCTCCCGTCAATCTTTCGTGATACTTCAGATTTTCTCCACTTAAAAATGATCCATTTAATACCTTCAAGCTTTGCGAGTTACAGCACATTGCTTTCATGGTGTGTGTGTGTGGGCTGATAAACACAAGATGAAGCTTGGTAATAAGGGTGTTTTCCTTCAAAAATCAATTTGACATGTATTGTGTTTTCGATATAAAAGAGAATATCATGTG